TTTTTTCTTTCTCTTTCTTATTTTTTTCTCTCTCTACTTTCATCCTATCCAACCTATTTCCCACTTTCAGATTAGGATTTAGTTAACTCTCCCTGTGCCTTCCCACATCCCTCTATTCCTATTTTTACCCACGTCTCTCCCTAAACCTAATAATTTCTTGTTTGCCAAATTCTTCTTTGTGGTTCATAGCCCATTAATATATAGTTGTTTGATGTTGAATAGATATATCTGTTGAACTAGATTGTATCTTCAGACTATTGACTGTACAAATACAGCCTTTGGTTGATGCTTGCCTTAAGATAGTGTTCTAGCACAAAACTGTTTTGATTTCCATCACAAATTGGCAGAGCAAGCCAGAAAAACACAAGAAAAATGGCAAGTCCAGGTATCTCAACTCCTACTCGTGATAATCAGGGGACAGAACAGATAATGAATAATCCACAGGAGAATTCCCAAAAAGCTCTACAAACACTACTGGTAAACATGTAAATGAAAACATTGAAAACCTGCAAAGGACTCTGTATGAGCATGATAGGGAGAGAGAGGAGGCAAACCAAAGGTAAATACAGGAATATCATGAGCGTGAGGACGCTACTCAAAGATTGATACAGGAATTACATGAGCAGCTTGAGAACACTCAAAGAGAAATAGAGGAATGGTGTGAGCAGGCTGAGATCAGTCAAAGAGAACTACAGGAATTGCAGGAGCTGGCCAAGAACAGACAAAGAGAAAGTCAGGAATGGCATGAGCAGGCTGAGAAAACTCAAAGAGAACTACAGGAATTGCATGAACGTGAGAGAGCGGGATGTGAATACAGAAAGATCACTAAAGCCATTCATGGAATCCATAAACAGAGAGCTGAAAAAAGTCAGAGAGACTACAAAGGGAATGCTGAATGGAACCCAACAGAAGAAATGGGAATCCAAGGAAACCATAACCAATCAACTAAGTGATTTGAGAATAAACCCTGAACACAAAATTAAGGAAGCAAAGTAGTTCATACAAGATCTAAAACAAAGCTCCAAGAAAGAATTTGAAGCCATTAAAGCTGACCAACTAGAAGGAAAAGAAATAAAAAAAAATGTAGAAAGTCTTGATAGTAGTTTAGACCATACAGAATATCGAATTTTGGGGATTGAAGACAGTCTAGATATGATAGAGAAAGAACATACAATCATCCAAGACAAATCCAAGAAATATGATAGATCTATTCAAAACTTGAAAGACACCATCAGAAGGCATAATCTGAGGATAATGAGTGTAGAGGACCACCTAGAGACAGAAGTTAATGGTCTAGGGAACTTGTTAAACAGGATCCTAGTAGAGAACTTCCCAAACATGCAAAAAGATAGGCCTATTAGAGGGCTGGGAAGGTGGCTCAGTGGTAGAGCGCTTGCCTTGCATGCCTGAGGCCCTGGGTTCGATTCCTCAGCACCACATAAGCAAAAAGAAAAAAGATGGAAGTGGTGCTGTGGCTCAAGTGGTAGAGCACTAGCCTTGAGCTGAAGAGCTAAGGGATAGCACCCAGGCCCAGAGTTTAGGCCCCACTACCGGACCAAAAAAAAAAAAAAAGATAGGCCTATTAGATACAAGAAGCTTTTATAACTCCAAATAGACCAGACCAGAACAGGACATCCTACCGTCACATTATAATCCTCACAGGATCAATTCAGACCAAGGAAAGCATCCTTAAAGCTGTCAAGGAGAAAAGATCAATCACCTATAAAGGGAAACCAATTAGAATCACCTCAGATATCTCAGCAGAGACAATCAAAGCAAGAAGAGCCTGGAATGATGTATGCCTTGCCCTAAAGACAAACAACTATCAACCAAGAATACTCTACCCAGCTAAACTCTCCTTCATAACCGAAGGTCAAATAAAAACCTTCCATAGAAAAGAAAAATTGAAACAATATATCTCCACCAACAAATAAGCCCTACAAAAGATTCTTAAAGATGTCCTACACATAGAAAACCAACAAGATCAGAATAAAGGCCAAGAAACCGCATCCAAACTGAGAATCCAAGACCCATATAGGAAGAGCCCAGTTGCCGCAGCCCTGAAGAAGGTGGATAAAATGGCAGGAACTCCCAAATACCTCTCAGTCCAATCTCTCAACATTAACGGACTTAACTCTCCAATTAAGTGACATAGATTGTCTAGTTGGATTAAAAAGGAAGATCCTTCTATCTGCTGCCTTCAGGAGTCACATCTTGCCCATAAAATCAAACACATTTTCAATGTGAAAGGCTGGAACAAAATCCACCAAGCAAACAGCCCTCATAAAAAGGTGGGAATTGCAATCCTAATATCAGATAATATATACTTCAAATTAAAATTAGTGAGAAGAGATCAAGAAAGTTGCTACATACTAATTAAGGGATCTCTCCTTAAGGAGGATATTACAATTCTAAATATCAATTCGCCAAAAAACAGAGCACCCAAATTTATCCGAGAAACACTACTTTGTCTCAAATCCCACATAAATCCAAAGATATTAATTGTTGGTGACTTTAACACACCACCTTCCCCACTAGATAGATCAACTCGATAAAAACTAAACAGAGAAAACTCAGATCTAAACATTTGCATAGATCAACTAGGTTTAACAGACATCTACCAAATATTTCACCCAGCAGCAGCAGAATACATGTTTTTCTCTCACCTTTAATTGACTGCCAAAAATCCAGCAGAGCTCTGGCTCAACTGGTAGAACACTAGCCTTGAAGGAAAAAGATAATAAGCTCATAAGGGACAGCTCCTAGGCCTTGAGTTCAAGCCCCAGGGCTGGCATAAACAAACAAAAAGAGTGCAAATTCTGTAGTTGTGTGATACTGAGCAAATTGCTGACATTCTGGGCTTCGGCTACTTTATCTATAACATGGAGGAAATGATAACACCTACTACATAGGAAGGTTGGGTTTTTTTTTAAATCAGTAAACTTTAATTTTCCAAGTGTTTTCCAAAAGAATTGTCAGACAATCCATTTGCCACAAAGCCTTCACCATCAAGCATTCCTCTTTACAAGGAGAGCAGAAACAACAAGAAAGGATAGGGTCCTCTTCCATCATTTTCTGACTCATGGTGTTTTCATAGTACAGAATTTATTCAAGTGGCAGATATTAACAACACCCAACTCAATCTCTAGGAATAATGTGAAATTCTGACCCCATGCTTGAGAGGAAACACTTTCAGTATTCTCTAATGGAATTTTTTCCTGTTCTCTTTGATAATAATTGTACTTGTGAATGTAGAAACTTTAAATTCTTCTTTGTGAACTTTAAGACTGATGTGAAAGGTGTACCTTCAGGAACATTGGGTACTGTGTGGACTATTCTTATGTTTGATGTCAACATGATTTTAAAGGAAACTTTCAAGAGGTTGGAGTCGACAGGAATACATGCCCTTACTAACATGACCCAGCATCCCCTGCCTCCAAACTGTTTTGTGCATGACTGAGTTAATGTTAGTACAGCCCAGGGAATAGCTCCTGACCAATAAGTGCTAATATTATCTATGCTTAATAAGATCATAACTTTCATTCATTTTTCAAGCCAGGAGACAAAAGATTCCCTGAATGGGTCTCAGTTTGTGGCCTTCCATTTGTGCAGGGAAGGAGACAAGCTAGTGCTTGTGGAGTCTGGCCTTTTGAATTTTCTGGACACACTTTGGAAATCCACAAATACCCAGTTTTAGACAACATCCCTCAGTTCCAACCTGTGTCCAAAGGGTAGGGAAATTACCAAAGTCTTCTGCCAAGAAAGTCAGCCAGGTCTTTGGAATTTCTACAACTATTAACCTTGTCTTTCCTAATTTTGGCCCCCCAAACTGGTCATGTCAGAAAGAATACAGTTCTTTTAGAAGACTTAGGTCAGGGAAGTGGCACTGTGGCTCAAGTGATGGAGTGTTTGCCTTGAGCTGAAGAGCTCAGGGACATGGCCAATGCCCAGAGTTCAAGCCCCATAACTGAACAACAACAACAAAACAAACCCTTAGGTCAGTCCCCATGAATCGTCTTTCCCAAGTGCCAGCAGGCATTTTGGGGAAGAGAAAGGAAAATCAACTGGCAGAAATTGTCCAATTCTATGTGTAGAGGAAAGCCACAAGCCAAGGCAGATACACAAAAAGAGTCTGTCCCACAGACTCCAATTGTCTGCTATGACCTGGAAAGCATTGTTTCACCTCTGTAGGAAAGAACAAAAATGGGCCCCAAGCCCATGGCTCCTAGTTCCTCAGGAGTCTGAAATGTGAAGATCCCAGTTCCAAGGGCCTGGGTACTTTCCCAGGAAAATAGGAAGAAATGTAGCTAGGATTAGAGGCATGAAACACTGCCACCCAGTGGTCCTTGTCTTTTTAGGATCTGTGCCTTCAGAGGTCTCATGCTGTTTCGACTGCTAGGTGGTCAAGTCATCTGGTCCAGATTGTTCTACATCTGTGCCTCCATTGAAAAGGTGACGAAGATATCACAGGGTGAGACTGTTGAGAATATTAAAGCTCATTTGTCCTCAAAGACACAGGATGGCCCTAGAATAAATAGTGGGCATCATCTTTTTTTTTTTTTAAGAATGAAATGAGACAGGTGCTGGTGGCTCACACCTGTAATCTTAGCTACTCAGGAGGCTGAGAATTGAGGCCTGGAGTTGGAAACCAGCCATGGTAGAAAAGTCCATGAGGCTTTTCATCTTCAATGAACCACTGAAATGCCGGAAGTGGAGCTGTGGCTCAAGTGGTAGAGCTCTAATCTTTGAGTCAAAAAGCTAACAGAAAGTACCCAAGTAAAGAGCTCAACTACCAATACTTAGTCATCTGCACACATCTGTAAGGATAGTCATGTTCTGTTATTACACTAGGTCTTTGTTTATGGTAAGGATACCCATGTTCTGTTACTACACTAGGTCTTGGTTTGTTTTACACCGGAATTGGACACATTCGGGTAACACTACTTCGGCTTCAATGTTAAGCGTTGGGAGAAGGGAATCAGATACCCTTTGAAAGGGTCCAAAATACGAAACGATTTATGACTTTACATGCTGTCCTTGCACTGGGGACATGCATAATCCCCTCTGTATCATCCCAATTTTAGTACACGCACTGCCAAAGCAAACACAACCTAAACCCTTTCTGGCAAGGTATATAAGATAAGAAATCAGAAATTTTTTCACTTACGGTGACTACTAAATTGTGTATTTCCAAATGACTGAACATTCAGAAAATTATGCTGTTATGAATACTATACTACATGTTTGTGCCTTTATGAATACCCAAAATGAGTCATTTTTTTCCTAATAGCTTTCATTGTATATGCAAATTAGGGAATCATGGGAGATGGCCGCGGGCGAGGCTGGGGGTGGAGCTCTGGGACGTGGTGCGCGCACTGCGCATGCTTCTTCGGGGCCAGTTGGCAAATAGCGGGACCTGGAACCTGTCCTTCTTGGACTTTGGGCTGGGAATTGTGACAACGCCACGTCCCCAAGCTCCCTAAAATTCCTGAGCATATTTGGTGAGCGGGGCCGTGATATCCATGGAGTCTCCAATTTCCAAGACGCAGGAAAAGGTTCCGAGTTGCTGGTGGAGCCCATTGCAACGCTAGTACCCTCAACCCGGACCTTAGCCAAGACTGGGGTCCCGTTGGGGTTCCTGGAGAACCCCAGGGCATCACGCTTTGGCTTCACCTGCCAGCAGCAATGCTCTGCCTTTGAAGCCAGAGACCTTTGCAGGTCTGGGAAGTGTCAGTAGTCCATGTAGTAGTTGATCATGTTGTTGCTAAGGGCCAGGCACTTTATAGGCATCACCCCAAACCTTCACTTTGTAGTGGTGAACAGACAGGCTCTGGGAGATCACACCAACATCCAGTCACCCTTCTTACTAGGTAAAAGAAATTGAGATTTTGGAGCAAGCCTGGCTTCAGAGTCTGGCCTTTTCTTCAGAGTAGGTCTCTAAGAAAAGATCTTAGAGTGTTGGCAAACACTCATTTCAGACCTTCCTTCAACAAATCCTGAGTACCTGTTATGTCAGGCCCCAGACTCAGTGGGAAGTCAGTGGGCAGGAACTTCCATTCTGGTAAAGGAGCCAGATGAATACAGAGGAGCCTTGCTGTAAAGAAAGCGTGAAATGAGCAGGATGGGCGATGGCTCAAGGCTGTAATCCTAGCTGTTCACGGAGCCCGCCAGGGCAGGAAAGTTCTGTGAGACTCTTACCTCCAATTAATCACAACAAGCCAGAAGTGGAGCTGTGACTCACGTGGTACAGTGCTAGCCTTGAACAAAAAAGCTCAGGGACAGCACCCAGGTCCTGAGTTCAAGCCTCAGGAGTGGCGTGTGTGCCACACACAGAGAGAAAATGTGAAATGAAGAGTCAATGGGTGATGATGACCACTTCAGTGGAGAGGCAAGCTTTGCACTGTGACTTAATGATACAGGACAGACCATTGCGGGCAGTTTCAATCATTGGAGCCAGTTGTCCAGCAGAGGTCACTGTGAAAGGAGTCGGCACTCAGTCTTAGCACTTTGAGCAAGAAGGACTCAGACACAGAGAAGTGGCTGGTTTGGTCGTTGGGGACTGGAGTCCTTCCCTTTTTATTGGTTTTCAGTAAAATGGAAATCAGGCACACATTGGCTGACTAACTTCTCTTGTCACCTCTGTCTAAATAAGTAGTAAGCAAATTTGAAATGGAAAACCTCACAAGGACCACAGTAGTCTTATCTATGCCTCTCAGATAAGCTGGGTATATAGGTGTGTGCTATCACATTTTACTTTTTTGTTGAGATGGCAAGGGTTGTCTAACATTTGCTGGGGCTGACCTTGAATGTCTATCATAAGTAGCTGGGATTGCAGGTAAACCACTGCACCTGCCTTTTAAAAATTTTCTTTCTTTCTTTGCCTTAGAAGAGTGAAATATGCCAGTTTTCTTGAGGCATGGAAGGTCCCAAAACAGTCCAAAGAGGCTATTGTGGACCTAGGGCTCAGGACCCACCAAACCATACAAGAGTGTTTTAGTTTATAGGTCCAATGTGGAAGAAGGGATAGGTTTGGTTAAAATTTGGTTTGTTTCCTATTGGGTCTTCGACTGTCCCACGGAAGACGGACCGGGTCGAGGAAAGGTCAGTGCACTGGTGGCCTGTTCCCCAGCCTTCCTTAGCCTCAGAGACAGTCAGACTGGCAAGGAAGGGGAGGAAAAGGAACCAACCAATCACTGCAGAGGTCACCCTATCATGCGCCTAAGTTTTCTGTGCTTTCCCTGCTGTCCACGAGCTCTTCACGCACTGATGTCACTTCACCTGGTTGTAGTATCTAGTCAGATTTTAACATAAACAACTCAGACTCTGCCCACTCAACTCCCTCTTAGCACCATCTTTGATGCCCATGTGCTACAGGTTCCTAAGAGTTCATGAGCTGGAAACTTGGTTGATGTTGAGGCAGTGGAAGTTGGTGTATGATGGTGGTTTTAAAGAGTTACTTAGGGATTAGTTGTAAGATAGGATATGAAAAACCTTAGCTCAGGGATTGACAATGTCCAGCCCATGGGACAGGTAAGGCTTGTGAAATTGTTAGGCCCTTCCAAGAAAACTGAAGCTGCAACTCAAAATTCAATAATTAACTGGGCCCTGATGGCTTATATTTGTAATCTAACTACAGAGGAGACTGAGATCTGAGCCATCTCAGGCAGAAAAGTCCATGAGACTCTAAGTAGCCAAGATAAAGCTGGAAATGGAGCTGTGGCTCAACTGGTAGAACACCATCTTTGAGTAAAAAAGCTCAGGGACAGTGCTCATCAGGCCTTGAGTTCAAGCCTCAGTACTGACACATATACAAAAAAAATCAATAAATCTAGGAACTTTTTCCATAGCAATATACATTTTATGCAATGAATCATAATAAGAATGCAAATTTTGAGGGATAAGGAACATACAGTGTGGGTTAGACAGGATAAATACAAGTACATGGTAAAACAGACATGTTTCCTTCTTTTTGACTGCATGTGGCCTAGCTGCCTGTATTGCAGTATTTCAGAGGACAGTCAGTGGCAGGCAGATAGTGAGGGCACATGTTGGAAAAGTATTAAGATACTGTGTGGATCCAGTGATGATGATAGGGATTAGATTATTGCTGGATATGTTGGGAGATATGTTGACTTCTTTGTGAGTCCAGGTGATAACTTCAATCCAAACTTTATCCAGACATTTTAAAATCAATATCCTCACTAAACCTGAGTCTTGGGTAGAAATTAAAGTACAAAGAAAAGACCTCAAGAGACCATGGCACAAACATTGACATTGTTCCAAATATTAGATGCAGAGTTTGAAGGGTGATCAAAGCTGGGTGTCAGTGGCTTATGACTGAAATCCAAGCTCCTCAGGAGGCTGATTTCTGAGGATGTTGGTTTGAAGACTCCTCAGGAAGAGAAACTTGTGAGACTCTTGTCTCCAACTAACCATAAAAAGCCAGAAGTAGAGATGTGGCTCAAATGGTAGAGCTTTAAAAAATATCCTGAGCTATAAATAAATATCCCAGAAAGAGTGCAAGACCTTGAATTTAAGCATGCACACACACACTGAAGATATTAAAACTTAGAAAGTGTGATATCTTATAAATAGTGACTATAAAGAAAAGTTGATGCAGAGAATTAATCTACCTGTGAGAAATGGAGAAATGGTTATTTTTGTTGTTGTTGAAGCCATGGGCAAACCTATATCTTTAGTCTGTGGTGATGTGTTAGTAATAATAATAATGATGATATTTTAAAAAGCCAATGTGGAGCACCATTAGCACTCAAAACTTGCCCAGTCTAGTGAGTTGGGAGGGCACATGTATTTAGATAAAATCAATGCTCTTCACAAGTCACTTTCACAAGGCCTCATGAAAAAGACCGCGTTCTACCAAGTTACGTAGTAAGCGAGGTAATCCCAAAGAAGCTGAAGGAGAGTTTATGAAAGAAGTTATGTCATGGTTACTGCTGTGGAGTTATTAGCAGCAGTGAAAGTAAAATTGTTTCAGAGTGGTAGCTTGTCTCAGACAACAGTCTCAGGTTGGATTACTGCCTTAGCACAAAATATTGAAAAATCACCAAAGGATTTTGCAGGAGATTTTCAATTTTTCTCAGTGGTATGTGATAAGCCAATAACCATCATGAGCACTATCCAAGTGGCTGTCTTTCTGCATAACAGCAGAGTACAGGAGAGGGAACTTCTGTCCACTGGAAGCCGTGCATGGCTTTACAAGAGATGAAGACTTAGCTGGGCACTGGTGGCTCATGCCTGTAATTCAACCTACTCAGGAGGCTGAGATCAGAGATCACAGTTCATGACCAGCTGGGGCAGGAAAGTCAGTGAGACTCTTATATCCAATTAATCACCAAAAATCCAGAAGTGAAACTGTGGCTCAAGTGGTAGAGTATAACCTTGAACAAAACAATCTCAGGGACAGCGTTCAGGCCCTGAGTTCAAGCCAGTGACACTTGTTCTGTTCTTGAAAAAAACTTGGTCTAACATTTGAAATGTCAAGTGACCTGACTGTGGATGGTGCTCAAGCCATGGTTGGCTTCCAAAGAAAGGGTACCATTGCATTTTTCAAGAAAGAACTGAGGGCTGGGAAGGTGGCTCAGTAGTAGAGCGCTTGCCTTGCATGCATGAGGCCCTGGGTTCGATTCCTCAGCACCATATAAGCAAAAAGAAAAAAGCCGGGAGTGGCGCAATGGCTCAAGTGGTAGAGCACTAGCCTTGAGCTGAAGAGCTGAGGGACAGTGCCCAGGCCCAGAGTTCAGGCCCCACGACTGGACCCCCCAAAAAAAAGAAGAAGAAAGAATTGAATTGTCTTGGTGTTGACTCATGTGATTTAATCTATATACCTACCACTGCATCATACAACAAAGAAAGTCTCTGTGTATATCACTGAAGCTCAAAAATAGGATATCAGCAATAATGTCAACAGCAGAGGGTTTAATAGTTGTTAGTTTAAGAAGTTAATGACTCTGAGCCTAAGCCTTGTTAGACTGAGCCACTGAGTCTTGGGAGCATGGTTCATGAGGTTTTTATTTTTTTAAGTTTATCCATGTTTATCCTTTTTTATGTTTTATTTTTTAATTTAAATTTTATTGTAAAGGTGATGCAC